ATAAACAGAAGTTACAAGAATCCTGCAAGAGATAATCTTGCCAAAGCATGATGTCTGATGTTCTAAGCCTGCTTTCTTAAAACCTGAAAAGCTGAAATTTTCCTGATTGTGTTGTCAGTGTCACATGTTGGCCCCCTGAACTTCATAATCAGTTTTGAACCGTTTGGCTAACTTCAACCAAATCTGACACAGGTAATGTCAAAGAGATTACAGTTTAACAGTCTTCATGAAGATTGATACTTGGATGAAGGAGAGACTGAAAATAGCATCCCATTTATACAAGGGCAGGCAGTTTGCTGATCAGCTGTAGCTTAGTCCCTGCAACTGCTTGCTTGCTTTATTTATTTATTTATTTATTTAACTGAACTAAAGGAAAAACTGAGGCGAAAGGTAAGGGAGGAGGTTGACTTAAGTTGTGATTTGGCCATGGTGGGTGTTGAACAGAGGTAAGGGTATTACAGAACTGGTGGGAGAATAAACGGAGAGCAGCTGAGGATATTGCAGTGGGGTAACACTGTGGGAGTTCCCTGGGAGCTGCAGTAATGAGCCGTTGAGACTCAGAGGTGAGCTATAAATTGGGTGGAGGAATCTAAAGAAGTAGAACAGAAAGCTGCAGAAAGCCAGCCTTCATTAGTTGTGCTCACAACACACAAGTTTTTCTGTGATCACTAACTATTGTTCTTGGTTGATGTAAAATACATATTTAAATTACTTCTGATGAAAAGAATTAAACTCTATAAGCACTCTCTGATCTTAGTTTTCTAAAAAAAAAAGGCACAAAAGAGGTGATATGTACCCCAAATTAACAGCTTTTGTTTTGTTGGTAGTTTCGTATATTCATGTTAAGGAATATTAAGTACTCGCAATTTTCTAGAGTCAATAGAGCATGAAAGATTTTTGGCGCAGTCGTCTTAAATAAATTATTAACTACAGCCTGTTCTTCTGCAAATAAATTGCTGCTTGAACTTTTTCCTACTCTCTCGAGTTCAGTGAACATACTTACGTATGTCCATTTAACATCCTCTTTTATTCGTCTCCTCTCTTTCTGGTTCATGCTATCAAGTGTTGTCATGAGTCATTTTTGTATGTGTTACCGCTACAAAAAGTCTGTCCTCAGAAACTCATTTTTAACTTAACAGATTCTGAAATTGTTAGCTGAGGATTAAATCAGTGTTTTGTATTTCTGTAGTTTATTCCATTCATTTTTTATGTAAAAAAGATGCCTTTTTTTTTCTCAGTGTGTTGCATAAGCATCCTGAAGATTAAAGTTAGCATGCCATTTAGTTTAGGAGTTTATCAAACATATTTTAATATGTGTGAATTGTAGATGCAGATATTTACACAAAGATTTGTATCTTGGACATTTTTAATATTTGGGTACTAGTTTGTACTTGGATAATGTCATAAGCTCCTATTTTCATTATAAGATACAAGTCTGTCAGTTTTGGATTTACACATTTTTCTGGCCACATGGAATATATCTTTGGAAACTTAGAAGTGTAAGACTGTTGAAAGAGTGATACAGAACAGATTTTGCAGTGCTTCTTTCATATATCAATTTTGATTACTAAAATAAATTCAGCTTGCAAAAATAACTCTTTATACATAAATTCTGTTTTTCAGTTTTTTTTTTTCTTCACTAACATCAACTCTCCAAAACTCTTTACAGTGTAGCTTTTTGTAATTGGGGCCTACCTATGTAACAAAACTGCATTTTTAATTTACACATTTAAACACATCTGGTGCAGAGTCCTCTGAAGGCAGTTTTTTATTTTCTTAAGAATGGACTTAAGCTGTATTAAAATAACTCTCCTAACATATCTCTAGGCATGAGTTAGTATCATTTAGCTAAACTTTTATTAAATTAGTACAATTTTTCTCATGTAAATAATTTTTACTTTTAAAGCGCTGGTTTGTCATCTATATATAAGCACATAAATACTTGTATCAGTCAAAAATATAATGGAAAGAATCATGATTGGGCTGTATGAAAATAACTGATGCTGAAGTGCACATTTGGAGTAAGTATCTTGGAGTTAATGCTGGCAATTTTTTATTAATAGTTTATCTGACTCAAGAAAAAGGACTCGTACAGGAAGAACTTGGCCTGCTGCAATACCACATTTGAGAAGAAGAGGTCGCTTTCCACGAAAAGCACTCCAGACTCAGAATTCAGAAATTGTAAAAGATGATGAGAGCAAAGAAGATTATCAGTATGATGAACTCAATACAGAGATTCTTAACAATTTAGCAGATCAGGAATTACAGCTCAATCATCTAAAGAACTCAATTACTAGTTATTTTGGTGCAGCAGGTAGAATAGCTTGTGGTGAAAAATACCGTGTTTTGGCTCGTCGGGTGACACTTGATGGAAAGGTGCAGTATCTTGTGGAGTGGGAAGGAGCAACTGCATCCTGACTGTAGGACTGAACATTATGTTCACTGCACTGTCATCTGTAAGTACAGTTCATAACGCAGAGCCACGAGAGAAGCGTGTCTTTAATGTGTTTCTAAAAACAAAACAAAACCAATTTAGCCTTAACATGTAATTGTTACCATTACAGCTCTTGTGATAAAGACTTATCTTTTTAAAATCTGATCTGAAACTTAAATTTTTTAATCTGAACATTGTTAGATTGTTTTAGGTTGGGATATTTTGGGTTACAATTGCTTAAAAATGTGCATGGTGTTAACAAAAAAAAAAAGACATTTTCTAGAGAACATTCCATGGATACAGTTATTGTGATTTAGAAAAAATACTATGTAGATAGCACAAATCTTTGAAAAATTTTGGTTTGTTTTCTTACCCAAATGTTTGCAGAAATGTATTTCTATTTCAATACTTTCTAGATTTCATAAGTGCAGTGTATATAATGCCTACTGAAGACTGTAAAATACTGAAGTTTTCTTTCAAGCAAAGTGTAAAAAAAAAAAGAAAAAAAATATATTGAGCCTGTAAATTGCTCTGTGACCAGACTTCATTGTCTTCTTAATATATTCTTTGTGTGTGTGCGTGTGCGCATGTGTGTGTATATACGTATGTATATATGCACACACATACTTGTGCGTGTGTATATATGTGTGATTGTGACCTATGCAATACAAATTATGGGATTGGGCAGCTTTTGAGTATACATCCCATAATTCTTTTATCAGGAATAGTTGCCAGTATTCACACAGCAGCATTTCTTCTCAGGCTTATTGGGTGCTGTTGCTTTCTGTGTACTAAGGAAAAGTGTCAAACCAGTGCAGTGTGTTCTGGCAATGGGTGCAGTCGTTGATGTTCATATGCTCATGGATTCCATTATTTTCCTTGTGAATTAACTGTTAAAAAATAATGCAGGATTTGAACATTTTGAACATTAACTCTACTAGAAATAACACTTTTAAAGTTATGGTGGCACATTGATTGTAAATTTTGTCTCCCAGTTATAAACTAAGTTGACAGGAGTCACACACAAGATTCCTACATATCTATAGAAGCAGTTAGTCATATTTTGATAAATGTAGTATGAACAAAGTGTATTATTGCACAGGGTCAACAAACAGTATGTTGCCATTTGAAGTAACATTACTGGTTTTATTACAACATTACCTCTTTTGTTTTTATAAAATGTACCAAGTTTTAAATTGATAAGTTTATTTTACTTGTAAAAAAAAAAAAATCAAAAAAGTCTCTTGCCAGTATTAGATGTTTTTTCTTTGTCTGCTACTTTTGAGGGGTTTTAGCCAAAGAGTAAACAGAAGAACATTTTTACTTTGGTGGTTATCTACTGTATTGCATAAAGTTATTTTTCTTATATGCTTACAGTTTACCACCAAAATAAAATTATGTAACGTTTATAAATGACAAAGTGGTTTAAAGTGTACTGCCTGAGTTAGTACTTATTTATTCCATTACTTGATTATTTGCCTCTTTTTCTGCTCGACTTGAACATCCTGAAAAGGTGTTTTTTTTTCCTGTCACCTTATAGCCAAAGGAAGCAGAGAAAACTTTGTTGTCCTGTGCTTGGTTTATGGCTGGCCAGGTAATAAAATTAGCTTTATAAAAACGCTAATTAAAAACTGCCGCTTCTGTTTACCTTCACTAAAAAATTTTTTTTTCTCACACCCTCAGCTATTAATTTAATGTTGCCTTGCCTATAGCTGCAATATTTTGATAACACAGCAACTTCATGTTAATTTTTGAATGTTTATATCTTGGGTTAATGCAAAATGTAAAGCCTTTGTAACCTTACTCACACCATCTGTATCTGTCTTTATTATTTCACTTTATCCAAGTCCTTTAATTCTAACTGAACACCAGCAGTATTTTCGGTAAAGATTCAATTGAAGATAAATATTGGAATGTACTTGGGGACTTTAGAGGTGTGTGGGGGGAGAAAATACTTGTCAAACTTAAGCTGTCCATAGACTTAACTATTGTGAATGTCATTGTTTCATTTTATTATGGTGATTGACTTGACTCTGATGTTCAGTTTGTATTTTTGGAATTGTTTTTTTTTCTTAGAATTAAAAGACCAACATTAAATGTGTGTATTTTTTGAGAGAGGAGAATGAGTTTTGATTCCGTATTGTTGAGAAATACGTACTTGGTGGCTTCCTCCCATCCGTTGTTCCTCTAGCTATAGCTTTCCTGTGTGACCCTGGAGACACTTGCCCTGCACACAGACACTAACTTGTGTTCCTGCTGTGCTTGAGGGATACTTTGTTACAAGGTCATGCCTTTGGAAATGCTGCCATAGTGCTGCTGAAGATATGGCTAGGGTAGTAATTAAAGCACACCTGCAAATGCCTTTCTCTTATTTATATAAATTTTAATGTACGGGGCAATGGAGTGTCTAAGGGACAAACACAAATGTTGATGTACATAATGATTTCTTATTAGTATTATTTGATTATTGTATGTGTGCATGTGTGTAAATAGATGTAATCCAGCCTTGATGTGGTCACTGGTTCAAAATCATTTCCACGTGTGTCAGATTTAATATTTTCTTATTAGGTATTATTTGCATGACTGTAGTATTTAGATAGGCAAACTCTTTTGTCTTGAGGCCATTCTAAAGATGTAGGCATCAGGTGGATGAACAAGACAGCAAAGAAGTAATGGCACATTATTGGTCAGCGTTGTAAAACAATGGTCATAGCAAACTACTTGTCAAGTCATTGTTCCCAACAGAATAAGTTCAGGAAGAATTTTGAAAAGTAACTATGCTTTTATAGGCAGAGGGGACATTTTGAGTACATGTTGAATTTGTCTGAATATAAAGGAATTTTGAAAAATAGCATGATTTGTGGAATGAAGGTTCATATTTTCATTTAGCAATAAAGAAGTCGGAAATAATCCAAAAAAGGGTCTTGAAAGTGAAGAAAAGCAGTTTGTGATCAAGGGAGAGGAGGGGGAGGTGAGTGGAGATAAACAGAAAAATGGACAAGTATTTGAAGCATCCTATTAAAGTGATCTTTAGTGTTGTATTTTAGAAGGAAATTGGTGAATTGGGTTGGAACATGTCAAGACTGGAGATGGAGCTATAGTCAGAACACAGCGATGAACTCGACAACATCAGTTCTGTGCACAGAAGGGTGAGGATGAAACTTGCAGATGCTATGCAGGTAAAATTTTCCGGCTTTAAACCATGCCACTTCTCCAGTTGCTTCACATCTAGCTGAGTCAAAAGTAACACTGAAGTTAAGGTGATATGATGGCAGAAAATGATATTTTCTGAAAATAGAGAAAAGGCTTAAGGTGGAAAGTTTTAAGTTCTTTTTGGGCTGTGCTGAACTTAAGTTGATGCCTAACTACCCGTGTGGAGGTGTCAGAAAAACATATTGAGATCTTAGTTCAGTCAGGACGATGTAGTAAGGAGTTTGTTTGTTTGTTTGTTTCTTTGTTTAATATGATTTGTCAACCTAAAGTCATAGGCAAGTTGCTTTTTGCAAATTGGATCATCTGAAGGTGAGGTGTAAAGAAGAGGAGGACAGAGAAAGGATTGGAATCCTTTGGAGACCCTGAAGAATGTTGGAAGGGTAATGACCGTCTTCTGAGAAGGTAACGCAGGGGAAAGAAAGTAAAGCAAGAGAGTACAAGTAGAAGTGCACAGTCTGAGAATGAGCTTGGAATTTGACGCTTGCTATTCTTTCACTTCCATCCTTCAGCAACAGTGAAACAGTGGCTTTTATACTGTAACACTTCACTCAAACTTTTTTGGATTATATCTTTCTTGTATATGTCTTAACTATCTGCAGTGCATCCTTCAATTTCTATTTTTAATTCCTGTTGCCTGCTTCCATTTTTTGTATCCCTTTGGGATCATTCTTGGCATACATCAAAACTTTCACCTTTATTCTGGGGCAGTATAGTGGCATTGCTATGACATTCTTTACTTTCTATTCTGTAATTCTGAATCACTTAATATTCCTCTCAGGTAGCTTGTCTCTGCTGTTTTTTCCTCTTATGAGATTTCTTCATATTTCTGCATGAAATCCATACACCGTAGGACAAATAGTTGTTCTGATTTTTATTCATACCAGAATATTTTATCTTCCTGATTTGAGTTTTTTAAAATACTGCTGTAGCTCATCCAATTATTTTAATGTCGTTTTTGCCTAATCTGTTCAAGGATCCTAATTCAACAATGTGTATTTATTTTTAACTTGCTCTAGTTTGTTTCCAACTGCTGAATTTGACAGTATTCTATTCTTTTCCCTATGAGGTATTTTGTGTACTGCATTAATTGCATTCCACATGTTTTTGGTTTCCTAGTCTTCTATTTAAATGCTGCATGCCCAGTGCAGTAACATAACTTCATTGTGATCGTAAAGGGGACATGATTGTTCTGATTGCATCTCACAGTGTGAGATGTGTGCATTACTGTTTTAGGTTCATTGTTGTTTTGAAGCACTCACTCTTAGTCCAGGTATATTCTTGGGATCTCATGCTGTACGTTTTCAAAACCTGACAGAAGTTCTCCTGCAAAATGTTTAGAGACCTATTTGAAATCTACAGGATTACTCTAATAAGCTCATTTATGTTCTGCGTAGTTCTTCAAAGCCTACTTTATAGCAAGAAGCTAATCAGTAGTTCTGTCTTGCTCTAAATCAAGCTTGTTCTTCTGTAAGCACCATTTCTAAGGTCTTCATTATGTTCTGCCATGTCCTACTGAATACTGGAAAGCTGTTGCTACTATTGCATTCACTCATGTCATCACGTAACTTGGTAATTTTTGCTTTGCTACCTACGCTTTACTCTTGGTCATGAATGTTACTAAGAATGTTACGCATTGCCTACTGTGTGTTCCTCGCCTGCTTGCTCTAGCTCTGTATTCATAACCTGACAAATTGGCTGCATGACAGCAGAGACTGGAAAGCAGTAAGATAGTCAAATTCCAGAGACCTATAGGCAGCGATTAGAAATTCAGGGAAGAGGAAGTAATGAATGCATGAACAGTTGCAAAGGTTTTCAGGCTATAGCATACCAAAATGTATTTGTAGTGGGAGCAGGGGGGAAAGGTGAGCCTGGGAAGGAGAAGGATTAAAGGTAGGACTAAGAATCAATAAGAGTGACGATGCAGAGTCCTTACTTTCAGAAAGTGCACAAAACTCCAGTACAAAACCCCACGTAGTCTAGGTGCTCACCTGCACAGCAGTCATTGAGAAGTAAGTGCTGAACTTAAGAGTGGGAACTTCCATTGGTTTGGCTGCTGGTGCCTGAGCCTGTTTCCTTCTTCCCAGGCTTGCACTGTCATCCAATGGAAGAGAAGAGATTGGGAAGAATGCTTTTAGGAGAGGCAGCATGAGGTGGGGAGGGGCAGGCAGGTGTGGGAGAGTTCGGTTCTGCCCTTCTCCCATCTCCAGAGAATGTAATGACTGGCTGTAACTGGCTGGGACTAGGGTTCAACAAACTGTGACAAATTTTTTTTTTATGGACAGTTGTGGGCGTCTTTGGTGACTTCAGAAGAGATTCACCACTCCTTAAAATCCTCATGCATAATAGAAAAATGACCTTAATTAGAAAATACCTGATGTCAGGTACCTTGAACATAATGTTTGGTTTGAAATAAAGACATAGGCTATAGACTTGCTATATACTGTTACAGCTGTTTTCTGGGCAACTCTTTGCCTAGCTTACACACTGGCCAGCTGGGCAGGTAGCAGGTGGAGAGTTATGAAGGATCTCTTGTTTCCAGAAACTTGGTACAGTGGTGCTGTGAGCCATACTGGCTTCCAAGTCGTTTAGTGCCCTCAGCTATAGCAATTGACAGCGTGAGAGAAGATAACATAATTCAGATGCTTCTGGTGAAACTTCAGCAGTATAGGGGTGCTTACTATTAAATTTTATTTATTATTTTCACCTGCTTTCAAAACCAACAGCTGTTTAAATAAAATGGTTGGTTTAGAGAACAAAGTTGAACAAATAAATCCTACAACAAGGTTGAGAGCTTTAGATCTGCTCTGCAATAATTGTATTTATATTCCGCTTATTCACCTCTCTTAGCACTTCTCCTGTATGAATAGTGAGTTCCATCATAGGGGATAATGAGTGTTTAAGACAGATTTACATGTAAATATTTGTTTTAAAAAAATCTCAAAAGGGAACTGCTGTGGCTAGTTAAATAATATTTTTAATAAGGTACCAGTCTGTACCAGTCTGGTTATGGACTCTTTGAGGATAGTGCTGCAAACTGGCAAATCAGCTTGAATAAACACAGCAAGCGCTGCTCTGCTGGGTATGTGGGATACAGTGGCCTTCTGCTAGTCCCAGGTATGAGGGCGTTGATGTTGTACCTATGGGGAAATTAAGGCAGAAAGCGTCATTTCTCACAGAGGTGCACTTTGAGAGACCAGGAAAGGGAGAGGGAACCATGGAACATAGGCACACATTTATGATGTCTTTGTCCAAAATTGCTTTTGGTCATTTTGTCCTGCACATGTACCTTTTCAAGTCAAAACACTATTCCTTCTACTGTCAATTGTCCCATTCAGCAACGTAACATCGTACCTTAGTGTTTTATTATATCTGCTTCACCAACTCAAAAGACAGTAGAAAAGGAAGTTCCTGTTTCATTATTTGAACAATGTGGTTCACAGGCTTCCGGGCAGATCTGAGTTTCGCAACAGTCTTATGAAATGGTAAACAAGCTCTGATTTGTCTTGCATATTATTCGACAAAGCCGAGGGAACTACTTCACAGTTTTGAGCTTTCAGTCCTAGGATCTTGCATGTTAGGTTATTGATAATGTAAAATCATTGAATCGTCTTAACTAGTGGTAATTTATATTATGTGATTCTTAATTACTACTGTGGGATAATCTGTTTTACTGTTTTTCTGTTTTCCTTCTATTTTGCCCTAGGTGTTTATTTTTTAATATGTTGGCTATACCTGATCAGGAATGCAAATACTTCCTTCTGTAAGATAAATTGTTTCTTTAGAGGAGGAAAATTAAAGAATTTCTGGAGGCACTTAGCAGGTAATCAGATTATGTCAGTTACTGTTTGCTGCTGAAAAATATATATATTTTTTATTTTAATAATTACATGAGACTTACGTACTGCTTGTTAACTGGAGATGCACAAACATGCACTCAAGTTAGAACATCATATCAAGCCAAAGTTCATCTGTAAAATCCTTCTAAAAAGTGTTTGTGAAGACTGATGGCTACTGGTTTTCAGCAGTAAGGTGATTTTTGGGTTCCAGTTTTCAATTTGCTGCTATCTTTTCTGTGATATCATGAGATTACAAATTTCCATTAATCAGTTCCTCAGGTATAATTCCTCTCACTTTTTCTTAACATGAGGAACTTGGGACTTTAGTATTACTTATTAGTAACTAAACCAGCTAGACAAGTAGTTTCACTAAGTCAGAGGTGCTGATTTGTTACCAAGCTATCTTGACATAGGCTGACCTAAGGCTTTTACTATTTCTTGTGTCAACTGCGGAACTGCTTTAGTTTGCCTCTGTCAGTGTGGTATGTGCAGTTTTGCTGGAGCTAGGGATTTCCCCTTCTGCACTAAAGCAATTCAAGCAGAAGGTTTCCCAAGAGTTAATTTTGCTGGAGCATCAACACTAGAGCAGGTTGACCAAATGGAGGCTGGCACCTACTGCTGCTTATGCTAATTTTGGCATATTTCTAAAGAAGCATTTCACCAGATAAAATACCACTATGGTGCTGGTTTTAACATGAGGCAAGTATCAGTCTACTCCAGCTGAGTACAGTGCGAACATTTTTGCTCTGGAGAAATACGAGCTACTAGATAGTTGTGAATAAAGTAGTACCAGACAGCATGGGAACTGGAGCACCATAACAAGTGGTTAATCAGAGGCTCCACTATCTATTCTTCCCTGCTGGATTCAGATAGGCTGCTTAGATTTGGGGACCTCAGTGCCACTTATGATGGGCACTGACTCAGTTCAAGTCTGGTAATAAATTAGGCTCACTTAGGAGGATCTGAAATCCTCTTAGTAATGTAGGGCCCACCATTTAGACGAGGCAGTTTGCTGGTTTGGGGAGCTGGACGCTGTGTTTGCTATGCTGGCAGCTTGGTGCTTCGAGAACCTGAGAACTCAGTCTGCACACAAAGTTATTTGAGTTAACAACTTGCCAAATTTGTTACTGTACTTGTGTACTGACAGCAATAGTTAATAAAGCTAATTTGCTGCTTGTTCTGTTGAGTTTTCCAATCCTACATTTGCTTTTTGTTTCCAAAATACATGTGATGGATTAATACAGTTTCTTCTTTGTTAAAGCCGAGGGCTGTCTTACTTATAGCCTATTCAAGTAAAAATAATAAATAGAAAACTGATCAGTGAGTTGAATCATCTGAGACACTGTGTGCAGTTTAAGTGATGTACCTGCAGAAAGTGAATAAGTACTATAGGCTACTTCTTTTATTTCCTGTAACACTGAAAGGAGAGGAGAGAGTGGTATGGCCCCAGCAGCGTTACATCTTAAAGGACCAGGCCTTTTGCTAAGTAAAAGCAAAGCAAGCGGTCTCCTCGGGCAGCAAAATAGCCACGACCCAATTCTTAATACCGCTTTCCAAGAAAGCCATGCTGGCTTCTAATGCCAAGGAAGAGGTTAGGTTTGTGAGACAAAAGCTACTGCCATCAAAGCAATGAATTTGATTCTCTGAGCTCAGGCTTGGACTTTAGTTTTGCTGATGCAGGTCCACCTTTTCATGAAGCAGGGCAAACTGGACCTGGTCCGGACCTAGATCCTGCACTGTGGAACAACAAAAGCAGTTTTGCTCCCACTGTTGGAAGCTTGAAGAAAGCTTTGGTTTAAGATGCTACTGTTCCATCCTCCCACTTGGTAATATGTAGAGGATATTCAAAAAATTTGGAAGCCAGATTAGGAGTAAGTAAGTGAAACTGATCTGTGAGGTTTTGTATACATTAGTATTTCAAACCAGAAGAACAGACTGTAGCCATGCTCTTGCTGTTTTGAACACTTGCAAAATCAGGACTGCTAATTGGTACAATGGTTAGGTTCCCTTGATATGCCATGGTCATTTGGCACTGGTAATAATACCTAACAATGAACTAGCCTCCCTTTAAGTGCCTTCTACCAGTCATTTGCTCCAATTTTACCACCTAATCAGTTCTTAAAATGTACTTTGATCATTATGTAAAATGGAGTATGTCAGTGGGATTTTTCTCAAAATGCAAATACAAGGCTTGATTTTTAACTGGAAATCTGATCTTTAGCTAAGACTATTTTTGTCAGCTTTTTTGTGAGATTGTTTACCAAAGTCATAATTTTGGTTTAACTATCACTGCATTTAAAATACTGATAAAATTACTTATTTCATAAGGATTATATGGACAGTAAATTCCTTGTCTGTCCCAAACAAGTAGTTGCATAAGATTTTTTAAAATGGTAGCTGTTAATAGAAGCTGAAAATCTTGTGAATTCATGTTACTAGTTCTAGTGAGGTGGAATTCTTTTCCCTTTAGAATGGCCCTGAATAATGGAATGGTTAGTTTAGTCTACACACAGATAAGTTACGTGACCGTACATCTTGAATTCTGTCTGGAAGGTTCAGATGAAGTTTTTAAATACGGAGAGCCCCTAAACTTCAGGAACAAGTTTTAACAGGTGGAGAACAGTTCCTATCATGGAAGAGAGTAACAAGGGTAAGAAAGGCTTTCCACAACAGATGGTGAATGCTACGTTGTCCCTTTCAGAAGATAGAGAATGCCTCGTTGCATGCAAATTTCTAACTGGTAATGTCACAATATTTCTACATTCTTACATAACAAAGGGCGGGGAGGGTGCATAACAAAAGTTCAGTGGTGATTCCTTTGGGCATGAATTAATTGTCTATGATGTAATCGGACCATTGACAAAGATATATTACTGCAAGAACTGAATGTTGCTTTCTACTCTGCACAAACACCGTATTAAGAGTAAATTTAATTACTATTATTTGAAACTTTTATCTATTACTAGTTTCAGTAGTATTACTGACCTCTGCTACAATTTGCACAAGACAGCACCTACTGTCCTTCCTAGATTTGCTCCTAACCTCATTGCATGCATAGCTGAAAGCCACTCAGCTTGGAAGGGGTGTACTACAGCTGTAATACAGAATACCATTATTAATGAAACTGCAACTATTGAAAAATTGAAGGCTTTTTAGCTGGCATACATCCAATATCACTTCAGAATTAAATATCTGCACTTTGTGTTACAGAGATTACAGAGGTGGTGTCAAATTCTGATCTGACAGCTGTGTAAATCTAAAGTCATTTGCATGAAGGAAGAAGTTAAAAGCTGCATAACTCAAAGCAAAGTTCTTGTTAACCTAGCATGCGCGATCTTTTGCAGCTTTCATAGATAAAGTATTTTTCCTTTACTATAAAATGAAAAACACAAACACAAGTTTAAGCTTCATTTATTGAAAATCTCAGGGTTTTGCATAATCTTATCCAATATCTGCAAGTCTTAAAACATTTACTTCTGAATAAAAAAATCCATTAAGAAAAAGAAACCATTGTAGATTGATGTTCTTTGTACATTTTATACAACCAAAAACAATCTGCTATTCAAAATCCCGTTGAAATTTTATTTAACTGCAAGTTTAAATGCCAAATCTTTCATTTATGGTAAACGTTTTCCAGCTGCCAAAGTCAAAGCACAGTTAATCTTTATAGTTTATTCCCTGTTTAAAATTTTCTATAATGACCCAAACTTGAATGGGGAGAAAATACAGTAAGAGCTTTTAGTTAGAAAATAATCCTTTCATCTAGATGAACTCTGCTGATAATTGTTGCATTATTTTCCCTATACCAGAAACTGCTGTCCCTAATTAAAAAAAGCTGCTGCAGTTCAGTCTATTGTCTTATCAGAAGCCTGCATTCATAGGCAACTTAAGCAAATATACCACGCTGAACTAGGATAAGTGGAGTGCAAGCAAATTCTGGCTTGTTTTGGCACTGGATGCATAACCTCTGGCAGAGAGGCAGACCAGATTAGGTGTGGCCCTAACCCCTTGAGAGGTGCTCTAGAAAATTTGGCAGAGCTCGTCTGTTGGAGGTCTGAGCTGAAAGCTAGAATCTAGTAGCTTAAATATAAGAGGTAGATGTCTTAGTCACAGCTTCACAGAGCTGTTACAGTATTTTGCAGGTGGTCTGTAACATCACACTTTGGCGATGCGAGTGAAGATAGAGCTCCTCTTTCTTCTAGCAAAAGGGGCAAAGCCCTAAGAAGCTTGATATGCCTGCCCTGAAGGGACCTGATCCAAACCTTGAAGTTGACTCCAGTGAGCTTTGGCTTACGTCCTGTTATAGATGCATGATACCTTGCTACTGGGAGACATGGGGAAAATGGCAGAAAAATATTTGCCACGCTGGGAGAAAGAGTTAACCTTTCCGAGGCTCTGTCCTGACCAAAGGAATAAGCTTGCCAATTCCAAGCAGCTGAGAATAGAAAGCATCATGTGGAAAAAGAAGATATGCAGAACTGTGAAGGGGAACAGTCTTATCTTGGATGCAGCTTTTCAGAAGGGACAAGTAGTTCAACAGCCTTTGGAGTCCTCTGTAACAAGCTCTGTAAGGAATAATACTTTAATTTATAAAAATGATCTAGAAATATTATTGCTAGGTCCCATTGTCTGAAGTTGAAGTGCAGTTTGTGTGTACTGTAGCCCTTGCTAGCATCTACTTCATTTGAATGAAGTTTCTTCATATATTGACCCCGTCTTACCCCCCTAAAATAATGTTATCCCAGAAAGTCTCAAAGTTGCAATTCTGCTGTTAATACCCAGATGAACCAAGAACAAGCAGAACACTAATACACTCATTGTCTTTAAAACACTTTGTGATGAAATGATGTAGTTTGTACGTTTCTGTAGGGAATTTCAGTGACTTCGCACATTGTAAATATGGCTAAATTTGAACCTTTAAAACAAATGAATTTTTATTCACTTAAGGTTTTTGGCAAAAGTTTTCCATACCCTCACTGTACTAACTATTAAAAGCAATTTGAGGATAACTTTGCCATAGTAAAGTCATGTTACGTGTTCATTTAATCCTAAAATTTGAAGCCTCTATTTATTGCTCACGTAATTTATGCCTCCTTACTCATACAAACAGCTAGATTTACAAACGCTGCTCATATTAACAGAATGTACTTAAACAGCTAAGACCTGCTAGGGTGAGCAAAAAGGAAACATTTAGATGCGCAGCTATGCTTTTTTGATGCATACGTAAGTCATCCTATTAAGTGCTGCATTAGTTTTAGACATGTAGTAGACAAATATTAATAAAAAAATTGGCAAATAAAATGGAAAAAATAATATGGGAAATGACTTCCTGAAAAATTATCTATTACATGAGGTTATAATAATGAACAGTTCACAAACCATGCTTCAATTTGTATGTGCATTCATCTGTACACCATATAGTCAGTTGTTCCTTGGATCTCATGTAACAACCAGAAAGGAAAATGGGATGGTAAAACAAGACAGAAAGATTTATGAATGAGAATTGCACCTATTTTCTCTAATTGTTTTCATTGCTGACTCAGTTTCACATTGACAGTGTTTGTCTTTAAAGTGCTGATGTTAGCTGTCTGTATATAAAAAATGAAAAAGCTCTAATTTTGTTCTCACAATGTTAGCCCAGTGTTTCTACACGATGCTATACAACAAAAGCTGAGGATTTTTTAAAGACACTTTGCCTTGACGATAAATGACGGTAACTACAGATGACTCTGAAAGCCCCAGTCTTGTAAACACACAGGCACAGATGTAAATTCACTCAATGTTTAACATCAGACAGACCAAATCTAAGCCACCATTTCAAGTGTTATGCAAATATACAAAGATGACTGTATTAACATTACTTTGCATATGAACCCGCATCCTGTCTGCTATGCATAAGGTAGTCATTAACAATCATTAACAAATGCTACAAGCAAGAAAAACAATTGTTTGTTAATAGCACTTGCAAAGATGGAAGAGCTTGGGGCAAGGCGTTCTGTTAAAAAACTCCATATGACTTAGAAATCTGATGTGTCTACTGCGGTTCAAAAGAATCTGAAAGGTCACGTTTTATTTTGTTTCTTTCCTGTAGCAGTTTATTGCTTCCCCCCCACCTGTATGTCTTTATGATCAAACTGAATATTAAGTTCTACTTTTCCTCTTATCTTCAAAGAGACTTTTCAACATGTAAACCTGAACAGCTGATACCACCACCATTACTCCCAAGTTGACCACAGACCAGAAATTCACTCTGTCAAAGTTGCTCTCTTGTATATTTCGGTCACGAGCTTCAAATGCTCTGAGGAGGGTCTGAATCTGGACACTTTTGCTTAATCTGGCTTTGACACTGTTGATAGATTCCTAGTAAGAAACAAAAGAATGTTTTTAGAAGGAGGGAAAAAAAAGGACATTTCCTATAAACAGATAGCTTGCAATACATAGAAAGTATTAATACTGTATTACTACATTATTATTTAATTTTTTACCTAGTAGACAGTTAACTTCACTTATAAAACCTATACTTCATCACAGGGTTTTCATTAATTCATCTAGCCTGTTTATTATTTGTCACCTAACAAGGCTTAATTAACATGGCATTAAGGTCAGGTAGACAAGAACCTTGTTCCCCCCAGGCATCACATACAGGAGGATGGGGAAGTGGAATAGAAGTCAAACCTAAAACCATTTTTTTATATTCCATTGCATCCTGGGGAACTGTGATTCTAGGTATTTGGGCAAGTAAAAAGCATTTTTATTTAAAAAAAAAAAAAAAAATTAGACTCAAAACAAGTAATGTACTAGTGGACTGCAAAACAAAGGTAGTTTTCTGGTGGATAATATGATTAAGGCACCTTTTAACCCAAACAGGTCTATAGCTGTAGGGAGGGGAAAAATATTATAACATTACATTCCCATCTCCTTTCTTCTGCTTTAATTGTAATGGCCATAAACTGCTGCTTCAACTTTAATACTAACGCAGAATTTGACTTCTAAAAAAATCTTGTCAATAGGATGACTAGAGGTCCTATAAAGTAGATGAATAATGCACAATTTGTCTCAAGGAACCAAAGGAAGTACATAAACATTCTGGCCCTAAGAACAGCTGCTCCAGATCTGCTCCATGTTTAGGTTTACAGAGTAAAGCTGTTATGTTTCATCCACAGCGAAACGGATAGTCACAACCTAAAGGCCAGTCTCCTGAAGCGTCGATTTACTAGGCCTTATGTTCTTGCTGTCACCATGTGACCTGAGGTAACTTTTAGTGGGAAGAGTAATGTGTGCAGTAACAGTAGAGTAGATGGATGGTATAAATTAAAAAAAAGTTTTTAAAAAAAACCAAGAAACAAAACTGTCAGTAACTTTTTCTCCATGGACATTTTCCTTGCTTCATATTTAACATGAAAACATTTTTAAAAAGCTGTTTTTGGAAGCCAGATAATTTTATGGTAATACTAAAGATCGTATGTATGTTACATAATAATAAATACCAACAGCATAAAAGAGCTTTACTTCCCCATTTTCCCCAGCAAATGTCTTGTTTATCTAAGAAGTTTAATTGCTAAGTATTTATGCAAGTCCTCACAGAACTTCTAAAAAGTAATCTAATAGCTTGAGTAAGTAAACAACGGCATCAAATACTAGTGTTAACTTTACAAAAATTACCTACTTTAAAGATCTGCAAGGCCCTCAAATGAAGACAAGTTCTGCATTTCTTTTTCTTTTGGAAGAAAACTTTATGTACACCATGGTAACTCTCAAATCCATTAGGGTATTACTTGTGATTAGTATAAGAGAGGTTTCCTTCACAATCCCCCCTCTAGACTATTTTCTCTAATTGGCTTTGTCACTGGTTTTAAAGAACAGCGGTGTGGCTTTCAGATTCAATGTTTGGCTTAAACCCTGTAAAAATGCATCATAGACATACAACAGATTAGGCATCTCAAACATTAAGCTTGTTTTGTCATTAGAAAAATCTGGCTTTAGTTTATTGCCATAACTAGAACACAACAAAAAATATCATTCTCGATACCAGATCGTCTTCAGTAAGTATTCAAAATAAGTCTTTCTGGATGCCAATTTTCCTTTTTTTTCAGAAGATACCTACTGTCTGTAACTACCAGCAAGCAAATGATAACTTTCACTGCATCCTGCTGAACGCTAAGAACAGTGCTACATGAAACAGGAAAACCAAGCAATCCTCTGCTTTTACATTAATATTAACATTTAGTGATCGTGAAAGGAATTAATGCTTTGACTGGGAGGTAGTCTTCATCCTACATCAAACAGGACCAGAGTACAATTTAAGCAAATGTTACCATTCACAATAACTGAACATCCTAACTGTGGCTGCTGTCATTGCAAACTGGAAGCAGTTTGATTCAAGTAAGCTTTAGGAATGAAAAGTGAGAAGCAAAGCAGCTAGGAGAGCAGGTCCCCCACAGATTTTCTTGGGGTCAGCTGAGAATAGTTCCCCCCTGCAGTTGCTCAGTGCCTCAGGACATTATGCGCAGTGTTTCTGCCAGATCAATAACTTATAGCACTTCTCTCCCCTTACTGTAGCAGTAATACCACCAGGCTCTATTAGTGTTTCACCACTGCTCTCTCAAATGTCATCTGAACGCCTGCAAAGGTACGGAGAAAGGAAGCTTGAATGGGAAGCAGAACAACTTCTATTATATCTACACAGTTTCTTCTAGCTAACTAAAAGTTTATTCCAAAAACTATTCTCAGGCCTCGGTGTGGAAGCTAGAAATCCATGGTGCTGGGCTCCATGTATCAGTAGAACAACTTCAGGCAAGTGGAGCAGTGTCCAGGATGCTGTATCAGACCAAGACAGAATGGCTGAATGACAGTGAGTTTTTCTCAATGTTCTTACATTCTGAAGAATTTAGGATTGAATACTTACCAGAATGTCTTCCAATTTCATATCCAGGAGATCTGTGCCTGTAACGTACTTCTTCCAGTCTTCTCGATCTTGTCCTCCTTCTTCCCCCATGTTGTCAAGGATCAGTTCAAAGAAAATAACCTTCTCAGAAATGGTACTGAATGTGTTGTCAAAGCAGAACATGTAATCACCATCTTCTGTTTCCACGCTGTATATATAAGCAAAATATTGTTAAATTAACTACATTTTTAGCGCTGGTCCTCAAAGCGGTGAGTTTTATAAGCAAGCTTTCCTCTTTAAGACTGACAAGCATGCACTTAAGAATAACTCAATAAACTTTTTATACAAAAATAAGAAATCTAAAGACACATTAAAGATTGCACAGTCACAGTAAAACCAACCCTGCCTACTCTTAAGTCTTACTATGAAGATAGCAGCAGCTTGCTTTTACTTTTTCTTTTATTGGGCTTTTGAAACATTGTGAATGACTAAGAAAAATCTGTAATATGAGTGGGCTTCTTATACTCTATTGCAATATTACAGTAATTACTGCATGCCTTGATAAAAAGATCAGAGAAATAGGGGACTTTTCTCTGATTTTTATGACTGACAACTTTTTTAATATCAGATTGTGGATACCTTTTTCAGCTCCACAGTAATTCCTTTTGTTCGCTATTAACAGCTGTCATTAAAACAAAAATATCCTTCACCTCATGGTAAGCTCCATGTAAAAAGCATTAAGCGTTTATAAAGAGGTAAAACTTACGTATGAACTCCATCTGATTTTCTTTGATCAAAAACTAGAGTTTCACCTTTTGGAGACAGTAGATGAAAATCAACATCTAATCCTGCTCCATCTAAAACCTGTGAAACAACAACAACAACAAACAGTGGAATTCCTGTCTACGTTGCTGAAGATAAGTTTCTAAGTAAGGGAACTGTCACAGAAAGCATTTAAAAGGTGAACCTGTCTGTGGGAGTTCAAACTAAGTGTCATGGTAAGTGTATACGATGTAACAAAACTGTGCTGTTTTAACAGTATGAACATGGCTACAGTTGTTTCACCACATAGGTTGTGTTGTGGAAGTTCTCAACAGGAAAGGTGCAACCACGCAGGGGTGGGTGGCAGAGGGGTCACATTTACAATGCCATTGCTTAGGTCCCGGCCAGGGTGTGTGGGGAGATGTGTGTGCGGGGCTGTTTTCCAGCGAGTTTGAGTGCAGAAGTCTTCTACTGCTGAAATCAAGGGCAAAGTTTGCACTGACTGAAAGTAAGCCTGGAGAAGTCCCAAAAGAGAAAATGAGCAGCTAGCAGTTGATCAAATTAAAGACATACATAGTGATATACCTTTAAGGCTATGATACAATGTGAACATACTGGATCAAAACTTTATCTCAGCATAGCACATACTGCATTATGTCATTGGAGAATGACCTGCATCTCCACTTTAAATATTCTGATGCTGTAGCCACTAACAATTGAGGATAACTATTAAAACAAAACAAAACAAAACTATTTCCAGGAACATATGGGTAGTGTTCCTCTTCTACGTATTCAATTGGAAAGATGAATCAATACTATTACCAGTAGTGCAGAGAAATTTATCCCTGAGTAGTAGCAAGTTCCCTGTTAAAGTAAAGACGTTTCTTCTCTTTGTCGTAAGTTTGAAAGGGCTGTTATCATTACTTTGCACTGATTTTCTAAAATAAGATTATTTTAAACTTTAGTTTGCTTAGACAGGACTGTTGAGCAGAGCGTGATCACCCCCATCTTTGATTCCTGTTCAGTTTTGCATGTAACAAAAAGCAATTAAGAAATAATCCGGATTAGCTACTCAGATTTTTGGTTTGCATTCTCAGTTGAGAGGCAGAGAAGGAAAAAAAAAAGAAAGAAAGAAAAAAGAGGACAGATCCAGGCCAAACCTGAGGCACAGCAACAGGGTGAGAAAACGCTCACTGCAGCTTCTCACACTGTGCTTATTCTCCCTGAAAAAGGCTTAGTTAGGGAAAGGTGAGGTCTTTGCACAGATATCTGGAGAACTCAGCTTCTCTGAAAAAGAGCTTCAAGGTCTTGATGTTGGTCTAGCTAAATAAGTCTTCGAAAAACTTTAATCTTCAAGATAAGAGATGTTTAACATAAAGATAGGCAAGTAAACGCTTTGCACATCAGCAACAGCTTTGTTTGCACTCTGGAGCAGCATCACGCAGGGGTCCAGATGTCAATATTCTGCTTTTACTGATTTAAAGGAGGGCAGCTTGAGATCTCATCAAGGTAAAAAAACAAACAAACAAAAAACCAAAAAAAACCCCGCAGCTAATAGAATGAAAAAAAAAGATTTAGCTATCAGAATTATCTTTGCGGTAACCTGCCAGGTTTCCCGTATTTAAAGTTTTCACCTACGGTTCAGCCGGCTGGCGGCGCTGGGCCGCGGCCCGGGACCTCCCCGGGACCCCCCGGCCCCCTCTCCCGCC